TGTAGGTAAATGATCATCTGTTACGTCCTCCTTTAATGGTTCACCTTCCGTGTACTACTCTGGAGAAAGCCAGGTCTGGACCCTCTCTATTTGGCGAGTACCCATCCAACAGAATCATCTCAGTTCGTTTTGCATTTGAACAAAACCTATTATGGCTCTTCAGGTACACCGCATCATCATCTTTAACAAGCTCACAGATATCCATAGATTTGTATTTGTCTGGAAGAGAGAAGGCTATTACATAAGAGTACAAACAAAATAGGAAACACAAAACTAAAAGAGGAATAGACACAGTTGAAAAGGCAATGAAAGAGGGGAAAAAGAATAATTAAATTTGCATTCAACCTAAAGAAGGTAAGGTGGCAACTCTTGTTTTAAAAGCACCAGATTCAACGATTTATATATATCTGTCAATAAGAATTGGAGCTAACAACAGTGGTTGCTTCATGCTTTCAACAGTTGCTGGCTATTAGAGCATGAGGGGAAAAAAGCTTTGTTTATTTTTAGAAGAAAAATGCAGGGTTCAGCTAACTCTGTAGCTTTAATAAGAAACACAAATGTAACCACCTTTACTTTAGATCACATACCTCTACAAGTGAAATATCTGCGTTCTCTCTTGTCTCATTTCTGTGGTAGCTCCTGAATAGCAAATATCTCAGAGAATCATAAGCATAGGCAACGGAGCAGAACTTTTCTCATCTAATGAACAAAACAAAATCCCATGAAGTCATCTGCCTCCCCCTGCCCAATGATTTAATGAGAGCATGAACAAAACAAAATCCCACAGTTCAGATCCAGGATATGTCAGGCACACTGACCTCCTCAGCATCTTTTGTATCTGTCTGATCCTCTTTGCTAACCTCCTTTACAGACTCCAAAGTCGTGTCTTCCTCCAAGAAAACTACAGAGGATTAACTTCTTGATAACCTAAGAATTTAAAGAAAAACTTGACTATGGTTTGGTATAAATTTGGGACCAAATAATCTAACTAGACCTCTTCGAGAGATTGCATTTCAATAGCAAACCTGGCTCGTTCTCTTTCGTATCAAAATCTCTTTTGACCAGGTCATGCTCCTCACTTTCTTCTTCCTCATCATAATCGTCTTAGTCAAATATAGAATCTTTGGTCTTCAAACTAGCATAAGGAACTTCAGCTAGAAAATACTCGTTTTTGGGCAGTAAATGATCTTCCTCACTAGCATTCTCAGGGCCATTATATTTTTCATCAGTATCCTCGTAATCAACAGCATTCTCAGCCTTTCTATCATAATCTGCAATAGGAAGTTTCATTACAATCGCTGGCGCTGATGATCAGAATTTGACAGTGTAAATAACGCAACTGCTACAAACAGGACTTGTTGCAATGTTGCAGATCTTAAAATCCATAAAACTAAAGTAACACATACAATCAAGTTCCGCCTGTGTTTTTCACCAAATTATTCATCATCAGCAATATAACATAACAACAGAATTAACATAGTTAGGAAGAGTCCAAGACAAAAAGAACATTGGAATGACAGCGGTAACTCATCTCCGAAATGCTTTCAAAATAAGGATAAATTCGAACTAGAAATAGAAAATCAGAGGTACTAACAGAACAGTAAACACTTCACAAGATAGACAATGCTGGAAGACAAAATCACCTTGTTCAGCTGGGTCATCTGTCGTAGGTTCGGATTTTTCCAACAGCTGTTGAGTTTGAAAACACAATTTTAGCATCTAAATAAGCAAAACGAGAAGAAAGAGTAGCACTCAAGGCTCAAACTACAACCCAACCAAGGACTTCAGGAAACAATTTGACAAAAGGTGAAGAAAAAGTTACCTCTATATTTGGGAGAGATGTTCCTTGGCATCCTGTAAATTATAATGACATTATTGGAAGAGGTATATCTCTGATAGACATTTTATCACAACCAAAAAGAGAAAAAAGGTTCAGTGTTAACATAATCACAATTGACAGAGAAGTTTGGTTACCTCATCAAGGTAACCAGCATCCAGGTCCCCGGAGTTGTCAACATTTCCAAACATAAATCCCAGGTTAAAATCCCTGCTCTCATCCTCTTCATCATCATCTGTAAAGGAGAACAGGCAAAACAATGCAGAAGATGCCAGATATTAGTGTTCCCCTATCAAGCATATTCGACCAAAAAAATATGGAGAATTCACAAATGTAAAGGAGAAAATGCAAGACAATGCAGAAGATACCAGATACTAGTGTTCCCCTATCAAGCATATTCAACTAAAAAATGGAGAATTCACTATTTTTTTCTGCTGGAGAATAAAAAATTTTAATCACCACAAAAAGTCTCAGAAACAATGGGTGCATTCCACAAGCACCAAAGGAGACACGGCCACATAGAACAATAACAGACTACGTAACTAATGAAGGGGATTAGCAGTGCAGAACAAAACAAATATAATAAACGAATTTAAACAAGTGATCCCATATCTAACCCGAAGAACTGTGGTTGTACGAACGGTTGCCGTTGGGTTCCATATCCACGAGAACAAAGCTTCAAATGTAAAACTGAGAGTGAGAGAATGGGAACTTGGGAAGACAAGCTGGCTGTTCAGAGCACAAAAGATAGAAAAAGTGTTAGCAGAACAACATCAGATTACAACGGCAACCTAAAAGAGGTCGGAACAGCAACTGAAACAAATACAAGCATACTAAACAGCTTTGCAACACAGGCTATATTCCTTTATCTGAACCCTGTCCCCTTTAGCTTCCAGAGTTAGTTCAGAGAGTCAAGAGTCTCTAAAATCAAGAAGTTGTTCATTTAACCTAAGACTCAAATTTTGTAGAATCAAAAGCTAGAGAAAAATAACATAGAGGGCATGATTACTCCCTCTGAATTTTGCCTCAAGTCTTTTTTTGTTTAGATTAATTACCCACACAATATCATTACTCTTCCATATCAAGGGAGTAACTCAAACATCAAACATAATAATTGTGGAACCATACATTCATTGATCATTGGCATGGACAGAAACCAAACATCAAAATAAGGCAATTTAGGGTGAGCTAACATAAGCATAACCGCATGATATCTATGTTCAAATCCCAATCAAAAGTTGCAAGAAAATTACTTGCCTCCAGGAAGTTTTATAGAAACCAAGAAACCAACTTTACCCATTAGTCTAGCCACAAAAGATTACAAGTAAACCTAAAAGTCTAGCTAAACTTAATCATTTCTATGAAAACGGCGACGAGACCATCGAACCAGAGTTTCCAGTCAGTTTTCAGGCGACATATCCAGTTAAAAGTACCAGAATGGGTTGTCAGATACACAATCTTGAATCTTGATCCAACACAACGAGGGACCCAAATACGAGGCAAAATCGACTAAGCAAGTCCGATAACCCAACCAAGATCGAGTTTTCCTCCGACCAGCGCAGAGAAATCGGCCATTTTGTGGCGCCTTCCGTGTCTTCATTCACTAAGTTAATGCTCGCAACGCCGAATAACAAAGCCCAGTGACTGGTTGGCCTCGCCGCTGCCGGAAAAGGAAAAACCCGCGACACCCACACGGAGGAAGCCGGAGGAGACAGAGAAAAAACTCACCGTGGACAGACGGAGACGACGAAAAACTCTGACAGCGACGGTGAACTTTTTCCGATGGGCTTTAACAGAAACTTTTTCCGATGGGAACAGCGATCACGAGGAAGGCGACGGAGGACAAAACCTCGCGGGAAGAAGCTTGTCTCGGACGCCTTCTTTGAATCTTGATTACTTCTTTATCCGTTTAAGAACTCTTCGTATATTTCACTTAAGCCCTAAATAATTCAATATTTATGTTCTAAGCCTACTTATCTGTTATAATTGTGTTGATCGATGGTGTTAATTGTTTTTTTATACAAAGAAAATTTGTCTCATCTTATTTGGGATCTATGTTATGTCGGTTATAAAAATATCATATCTTAACAAACAAATCAATTATTAAATAATTTCACTGGTGTTATTGATATCTACAATGTATTACCAGTCTAAGTTAATTCAAAAAAAATATTAAAAAAATCTTTTAGTTATTTATTTGAATTGACGTCTTTTTTTGTGTCGTTAAGGAAATTTACGATTAAATCTAATTAATTGGGGTAATTTTAATTAAACTATGGGCTAACAAAACATGTATTTTGAATTAATTAGGCGTTAAATATACATACAAACACACACACAAAATGTAAATATTGAATTATTTTGGGTAAATATACAAAGAGTTCGTGCACGGAAAAAAAGAAATAAAAATGCTTCGCTTGGGGTTTTGTCCTCCGTCCCCTTCATCGTGATCTCCGCTGGGAATATTACTCAAATAAACTATTTGGGTCGCAGTAATTTCAGTGTACACTATCGAAAAATTTTTTTTTCAATTTTAACCCATTTTTTAGTTGGAAAAGTCCGAAATACTCTTTTCATTTTATTATTTGCGACTTTATTACGACTAACATATAACTGATATACAACTTTTTTTAAAATCAATTGTAACTATATTTAGAATTAATTACGAAGTTATAATAACGAATTTGTTTTCGAACGGATAAAAATCGCGTATGTATTCATTAAGGGTAATTTCGTCTTTTCAAAAAAAAAGTGTTATGTTTTTTCTAGTGTATACCTGACAGGGAAAATCACCCAAATAATCCACTTGGGTCGCATACCACCGAAAAAAAAAAATTTCAATTTTAACCCATTTTTCGGTTGGAAAAGTCCGAAATACCCTTTTCGTTTTATTTTTTACGACCTTATTACGACTAACATATAACTGATATACAACTAAAATAAGATAGATGATTTTTTTGCCACCTTTATTAGAATCAATTGTAACTATATCTAGACTTAATTAATTACGAAACGTAATAACAAAGTTGTTTTCGAATGGATAAATATCGTAATTCAATTAAAGGTAATTTCATCTGTTATGTTTTCGGTGGTGTATAGGTGAAATAGATGTTACCAAGTGCCAAGTGGGGTTATTTGGGTAAAAAAAACTCCCGAAGGTGCGACCACTTGGGTCATTTGTGTAAAATTCCCATCTCCGCTCCCATCGGCAAATTTCGCCGTCTCTGTCGGATTTTTTCTTCGTCTCCGACTGTCCAGGGTGAGGTTTTTCTCTCTCTCCTCCGTCCTCCGTGTGGGTGTCGCGGGTTTTTCCTTTTCCGGCCGCGGCGAGGCCGAGCAGTCACTGGGCTTTGAAGTCTTCGGCGTTGCGAGCACAAAATTTGTGAGTGATGACACGGAAGACGCCACAAAGTGGCCAATTTCGTTGCGCTGGTCGGATAATGAAAACTCGATCTTGGTTGGTTTGTCGGACTTGCTTAGTCGAATAAGCCTCGTATTCGGGGCCTCGTGGTTTTGGGTCAAGATTGTGTATCCGACCATCCATTCTAGTGTTTTCCCTGGAAATGTCGCCTGAAAACTGGCTGGAAACCCTTCGATTCGATCGTCTCATAATCGCCGTTTCATAGAAATGATCGAGTTTAGTAGCCTTTTAGCGTACTAACAAATATACGCTATCTGATATCACATTTTCTCTGGACCTATGAATATCATTCTTTTTTCTTATTGGAGGTGGATTTTCTGTTGTTTCATTCAAGTTTGTCTTCATTTGGATTTTGGATATTTAATTTGAATCTCGTTTGCTTATTGATTTTGTAGGCTGAGGCTTTCTTCGAGTCCATTTGGTTGCTGCAAATAGAAGAACCATTGATTCTGTTCTGTTTGTTGTGTTTCCGTTGCTTTGAGATCAGGGAAAGAAGTTCAAAAGGCTGAGATGACTGTTTTTCGAGCATGGTATTCGTTATCCAGAAGAAGCTTCTCGACAGCTTCTTCTTCTTCTTCCTGTCCTCTGCATGTTTGCATCGTTGGAAGTGGTCCTGCTGGTTTCTATACTGCCGATAAGGTAACCTTATTATCTCTTCAATTCTCTTAATTGTTGAAGTCAGGGGCTTGAATACATAATATGTAGGTGTAGTCACAGACATGTTTGATTGTTATAATGATGGATTAAGGTGTGAATGATTCATATTCATCTAGAGGCTGTTACAAGAAACAAATTTTGCTTTCAATGGGCGGGTTAGCCTGTGAGCTGTGTGTGTGTATGTGTGTTTATGTGTGAACAAGGTTAGTGCATATGCATTTTCCTGTTTATGTTTGAATCTTAATGTCAACAGGATTTTGTTAATAATCACCAATTAAAGCTTTTTGACTTCCTCATTTGATTGCCGGAAACAAGTTACTGAAGGCGCATAAAGGAGCACGAGTAGACATAATTGATCGATTACCCACACCTTTTGGACTTGTTCGATCTGGTGTTGCACCTGATCATTCTGAAACTAAGGTTCCATCCATATATTTGTCAGCTTAATCTGATTGAAACCTGATAACATATTCTGAGTTGGACATGATTTTTACCAGAACTCTTGCTACAGATTGTGATTAATCAGTTCTCACGTGTGGCACAACATGAGCGTTGCTCTTTCTTCGGGAATGTAATGCTTGGTTCAGCTTTATCACTTTCTGAGCTGCGGGAGTTGTATCATGTGGTAAGAATTGGTAAAAAAAAATTGCAAGGTCTAAGTTCTTGATGTATATATAGAGCTAATTGTTTTCCTCTTTTCCTGAAATGTGAACCTATTCTTTAAAGAAACTCTTACCATGTTTAAGTCTTCAGCTCATTTTCTATATCTTGGGTCCAGGTTGTACTCGCATATGGTGCTGAAAGTGAAAGAGATCTTGGTATTCCGGGGGAGGTATGTCCAACCAAAGCTTCCATGTGATTAGTGGAGCTTCAGGGGCAGGTTTTGACATAAGTTAGATTTCAGTTGCTAATAGCTGTCAGATAGTTTTTGGTGATGTAGAAAATTGATGACTTTATTTTGTCGCTCATTATGTACATTCTGATGGCAGAATCTGAAAGGGATACACTCTTCGAGAGAATTTGTCTGGTGGTATAATGGGCATCCAGACTGCAGGAATTTAAACCCCGACTTGAAGAAGACCGATACAGCTGTTGTCCTTGGTCAGGTAATTTACACACGATGGTCTTTGACCATTATATTCAAAGATGCATATAAAGTCAGTAATCGGGTAACTGTTCTTTTGACCGGTCTAATGTTTTTCGTGGTTTATGCTTTTTTCATCTAGAGTGGATTTCAAGGAACATTTTAAAGCATGTTTTAATAACGAAGTATGGAGAGGTCTCAAATTAGAGAATCTGGGAGCAATGTTTTCCCCAGGATCTGCAAAGGGTTCTACAAATGTTTTCCATTTCAATTGTAGCTTCTTAAAACCATGAAGTAACTTGTAGGGATGAGTTGCTCTTATTTTCTAAAATAATTGAAACTTAGTGAATGGGATCTTATCTAGGTATGCTTAGTTTTCTTTGTTTCACCAGTTTCGTTAGCATCTACTTTTTTCCTAGGTAGTAGGTATACCTCTTTCTTGGTAGGTACTTCTCCATTATGAATTTTAGCATGTTTTATGTACTTGGGCAATGGGAAGTAAGACTTCATATTGGTAAATGCATTCACCGAGGTTTTTCTGACGAATGAAACATTCTATCTTTTAGGGCAATGTAGCTCTTGATATTGCTCGAATTCTTTTACGACCTAAGACAGAACTGGCGTCAACTGATATTGCTGACCATGCTCTGTCTGCACTTGAGGAAAGTTCCATAAGGTACCATCTAAACCTTCTGCCCCCTTATCTGTTTTGGTTGACAAGCAAATATAGTTTTCGTGATAGAGATAGCATTGCATGTACAGGAAGGTGTACCTGATCGGAAGGAGAGG